GCGGCCAGCAGCCGCAGTGAGCGGCCGTCCAGAAGCCGGCGACTGATCTGCCTAGCCCGGGAAGAGCGCAATGATGATGCCAACTTGGGCCAGTGAAGCAACTCCTCCACAACTAGACTGAAGAACAAAATGACAGCAACTTGTTTGTTCCCCTTCCCCCAATTCCCCAGCACTGTTCCCATCCCCCCAATTCCCCAATTAAAAAAAAATCTTTAAAAAACCCCCCAAAACTCCCATCACTATGATCCGAGTGTTTCTCCCTTGAGCTGTGCAGTGCATAACCTGTAGCCCTGAAAGATTCTTCACTTCCTCTGAGGGGGCTCAGAGCTCAGATAATTACCTTCTCCTCCTTCATTCCCTACTTGCAAATCTCCTTCTATAGCTCCATAGGGATCCCTGTCCTGCCATGCAGTAAGCATGATGCTAATGGTTTCCTAAACTTTCCTCCCCCACCCATAAAATGGGGAAAGGTAAAAACAATTCATTTATCAAAGGATTGTGTTTTGAGGGAGGGGCCATTTCCCAGTATCAGAGGCAGCAGACCAAGGGAGTTTGGATGCCGGATTGTTGGAATCTCCAAATATTTTCAAAAGTGCAGGAAGCTAATGGCACAAAAAATGTAGGGGCTGAGAAGATGGTATTGTTTGTGCAATCAGGGAGGGAAGCAGGGAGCCAAAGAAGGAATGGCTGTGTGATACGCTGGGAGAGAGCAGTAATGCCCACCCAGGGTCCTGTCTCCTTGCACGGGTTTTATTCCCTGCTGCTTACCACCAGTCTTTCCGTGGGCCTGCTGCTTCCAAGGGCGGCTATGCATCTGCGTGTAAGGACTTTGTCCCTGATGACTTGGGGGTCCAAGTTCCTGGAAGAGGCTTCTTGGTCACAGCTGCATTGGAAAAGCAACTGCTACTGAGCTAGCCAAGCAAAGTGAGCAACCTCCTAACCGGTATGTCCACTGTGCCCCGCAGCCAGCCTGTGGCCTGTCTACACTGGGGAGAGTGCCCTATGTCACAAGCAGGTCAGGAAGGGCCCCACCGACATGGCCAGGAGTCCTGAACAGTAATCCCATGGTGATTAGCACAGCTCCCGGCTTTCTTAGCTGTGCTTTGAGCTTTAGCCTAGAAGTGGATGGAGCGAGTGACTGGAGGAGCCTTTCCTCAACACTTAATTAATTCACAGGAGAGCCTGGGTCCTGTCCACATGTCACAGTGCTTTCTGATTAAGAGCAGTGAGACCCTGCTGCCAACCTTGGGCATCAGAATCACCAGTGGCACTATAAAAATGTGGATACTTGTTCGTAGCTCATGCCTTCCTAATGAAGGGAGTGGGGGTGGGGTGGAGATTAGGAGTCCAGTGCAATTTGGCTGTGGACCCTAGCTAAGAACCAGTGTCCCCAGGACAACCAGAGAGGGAAGTGCCTTAAACTTCCTCCCTCCTTCCTGGGGTCCTGATGTCTATCCTGCAGGGTTAGAGCAGGTGGGGACTGCCTCCTATTTCACGTCCCTAACCTTGTTTCTGTGCTCTCTGGGTGCCCCATAAATTATTTAATCAGCTGAAGTCTCCCTCTGGCTAAATGCCAGAACTCCCTGCATGAACTCAACTGCCCTGGTCATTAAATGGCACTATAGTGGCTAGAAAAGTCTGCCATGTCTCTCTAGAGCCTCTTCTCCAGGAAAAATTGATGTGCCATGAGAAGTTGGGAAAAGAGGCTAGGAATTTATCACTTTTCAAGATGTTGAAGATGTTTTATTTTTTTTCCTCTAAAATCAAGTTAGGCATTTTCCAGGAGAATATTATACCACTTGGAACTGTAAAATTATCTGCCAAGTCAAGGCGAAGATCCACTGCGTCTTAGCACCTGGGAAGCACTGTGAAGCACTGTGGATGGGGGTGAGGGAAATGGGGGGGGACAGGGGGAGGGTCGATGGCTATGTGGTTTACCTGTAGCCACCCATGAAACAGACCCCATTTAACAAAGTGGGCTATTTAAGCGAAAAAAGTGGGTTCCAAAATGATTACTTCGTAACTGCCCCAGCCAAGGCATTTCGCTTTAAATAAACCTTGATTAATGACAGTATGGCCTTTGCCAGAATAACGTTAGTGCCATTTATGGATTCAGCTACTCAATGACTATTCATGGAATCCCTGCTACCTGTTAGGCCAGTGGTTCTCAACATCGGCTGAACATTAGACTCACCTAGGGAGCTTTGAAAACCTACCCAGGCCTGGGCCTATCATCTGGAGCTTTGAAAACTCCCCAGATGAGTATAAAGTGCAGCCAAGTTGAGACCTCTGTGTCAGACACTATGGGAGATGTTAGGGGTGCAGGTGTGACTAAGACTGACATTTCTTATCCTTCATGTGTTCAGATCCTTAAAAGAATCAGGACATTACCCCAGCTACACTGTCAGTCAGAGCAGATAGGCAGGAGAGCAGGTTCCACGGCCACCCTCACTGTTACACCTGTTGCTCTAATTGTGGGGGCCATTCCATCTAGATTACCAGAATAGTCTCAATTTCGGGTATTCTTTCGTGATCCCATATGTCTTAATTCGTCATTTGGAAAAGGTGGTCTCCACAGCTATATAGCAATTGCTATAACTCACAGTTTCGTTGAATTCCACCAGGTGGCACAGTTCACCTGGTTTGTAGAGATTGAGACCAAGCGGAAGGTGCCAAAGGTGAGATCATCAGGGAGAGTGGTAACCAGGTGAGCTGCTCTTTGCCCCTCCTGCTGGGGGTCTCATGTCTCAGGCGGGGGGTGGGGGGGTGGGGGGTGGTCCCTTGCTGGTGCTCCTTTAGTGGCAATGGCCTGTGTCTGTGCTTCTGCCCTTCAGGCAGCCTCAGCCAATGGAAAGCCAGAGCCATGCTTTTCAATGGCTGGGTTTCCCCCTGGATAACTGGGGCTGTGAGGTTTGACCCCATACCCTGGGCTGCCTGTGAAACCAGCAGGCGGGGGCCCATCCCTCTGCAGAGACACTATACCAGACAATAGCTTGCTGAGGTTTCTACCCCAGAAGGAGCCCAGGTCGCTGAGACACATCAAGGGTGATTCAGGTGCTTTGAACCAAGGCGTAAACTTGACCCAAAGTCCTTCTAGTAAAGAGAGACAGCAAAAAACATTTTGGTCTTGCTGACAGCCACTTTCTAACGCGAGCTTTCAGACCTGGCTCCCATTTTGTGGTCTTCCTCTTCTGAGAGTGTTGGAACCAGGATCGGCCACATAATTTGCGGGGCCCAGTGCAAAATGAAAATGTGGGACTCTTGTGTAAAAGTTGAGAATTTCAAGACAGTGAAGGCAGAGCATTCAAACAAGCATGGGGAACTTCTATTGGCGGGGGGGCCTGTGTATCTGCACAGGCTGTGCCCCCTGAAGCTGGCCTTGTGTGGGAAACCTGCACCCCCACTGTAATGTAGAGAGAAGGGGACTTTGGGGTTGTTTCTCAGTGACCCCAGGCCCCTCACTTTCACTAAAGAATGTCTTCCTTCCATTCCCCGCCCCCGACTTCCCTCCTCTCGTCTGTGAACCTGCTTCTCCAGCAACAGCCCCCCAACTACTGCTGTTCCAATAACTGCCCACAACTGAGGGGCCCATGAGAGGCGACTGGGGAGGGGCAAGCAGCATCTCCGCTCCCTCAGGCTTGGACCACGGCCAAAGAGAAAGGAATCCCCCAATCCAGAATGGGATATTTTGCATCTGCTCATGAAGGTTAGTATTTTTATTTTTCAGTAGCATTTCCCAAGCAAGTAGCTGCTCCTTTCCCGTCTCACCAGAAGCCCCTAGTCTCATGCCGTTAGATGCCTTACAGAGGCTTACTGCTGGCATGAGCGTGAGGGTGTCTAAATCTTCCTCTAATGTCTGCAAGTGCCGCTGCGATCTGGGCTGCAGTTCTTGAGATTGAAAGCTGGCTGTCTGCCTGCTGATAACTTTCGGTTGTGCTGCTACAAGATGCAACAAGAATACTAATCTCAGGCCACCGGCAGAGGAGGGTTTGCCTGGATTCCAGACCGCTGTGGTTTGGGCCACATTTTTTACGAAGTGGATTTATATGGAAAAAGATGACAATGTGGTTCTGTTTATTATATTGAGCCAACCTTATATATCCAACTCCGCCATGTTTGGGAGGGATATAGAGCTGACAGGGGAGCACACGTGTTTCCTGTGGTTGGGAGACAGGGAGCCCTTCCCCTACTGCCCACCCCCCCCCCATGCACATACACAGGATGGGATTGGAATGAACACATGGGAAATTCCCTCCTCTTTTGTGTTTCTAAGTGGCCTCCAGCACTGAGAGCTCGCAGGGCTCAGGGCTCAGGGCTCAGTGCCTGTCTGCTCGTCCCGTGGGTGTGGTTTCCCTGACTCAGTGTATCCCCCAGGCTCTGCCAGGAATCAGCTGCTCCTCCCTGTTTGTGAACAGGCACCACTGCACGGCTTCAAACGGTCCACCACACACAGCCCCCCACACAAACATCATGGGAGTGGGAAGAAGCGGGCTCTGAATTGAGTCCCGGGTCTGTCCTCACTAGCCTTGTAAGCTTGGGCCATGTTCCTAGCTTCCCAGAACCTCAGTTTCCTCAGCTGAAAAATAGGCGCGATACTATTGTACTTTATTCATTGATGAACATATATTTGAGTGTGAACCATATGTCAGGCAGTGCGTTAGGAGCTGGAGATAGAGATGATAGAGACAGAAACAGCCCCTCACAGTCTTGTGGGGGATTCAAGTGATTAACAGGCATTTCCAACGAAGCCCCGTGCCGCTCAGGGCCTGCCTGCACAGCTGTGTCACAGTGGGGGGCCTGGGAGAGTGGATGGTGTGGACCCCGCAGTATGTGTTTCTCCAGCTCCCTCGTCACCCAGCTTCTGGCTAGGTTTGGCCAATGGTGGGCATTAGAGGAAGATCAGTAGTGGGTAAAAAAAGGCGGAAGCAGGATATTTAGCTTCCCTGATAATGGCTAAATCTCCTTTGTGGTTCTTCTTTCTGGCGACCACATTGGTTCCTGGGCTTGAGTCCCCCCACCTCCTCCATTGTTCTTCCAGCCTAGAGCTGGTAGAAGCTTCCTTCTCTGGGTTATTTCTCCGGTCCCACTGAATTCTCACCTTGTTTCATCCCCTAGGAAACCAGTCCCTGCTGAAAGAGGTTTCTGTTGGACCCTGACTGACATAACATAAGTGGTATGACATGGGAAGTTTAGGGTATTGTGGGACGTACAGCTCTCAATCAGAGAAGCTATTATTATTGGTGTTATCAATACTGTTTATACTGTTATTACCATGCCCAACCTAACATTCTCTGCTTCAAGTTCCCTAGTTCTGCCCTGCCTCCACGGGAGCTGGAAGCCGGCAAGCTCCAAGAGGCGTGTGGTAGAGCAGTGAAGGCCCTGAAGCCCCTGGTCCTGGCTGCATGGTTGGATGACATCAAAAGGCAGTGGTCTCTTGGACAGGAGGGCCTGGGCAGGGAGTGCAGCAGGCCAGCTGAGCCTGGGGAATGTGGGCAAGCCAGGCACAGGGGAGGTGCGAGGTCAGGTGGGAATCGGCTGCTTGTACACACTGGCCTGGGAAGACCAGGCGTGTGGACTGTCTGCCAAGGTGCCTTTTCTGGAGAGCGTGTGTGTAGCACAAGCTTGGGCGAAGGAAGGCCTAACACGGAGCTCACTTCCTGCTCACCAGCCCATGTGCGGCTCAGCGTTCCTGGCGGTTCTGCAAGAGAAAATCAGAGGGGACCATCCTTCTGCAACTTCACGTTGCAGTTCGTTCCCATCTTGCTGTCTCAGTAGAAGGACACCAGACTTTTGTCTTCTTTGTCAACATTTGTTAAAAATAAATTTTTAAATTTTAGAATAGTTTTAGATGCACAGAAATGTGAAAATAGAGTTCCCATTTACCTCAAAGCCAGTTTCCCCTTTGTTAACATCTTTCGTTAGTATGGTTCATTTTTTAAAACTGGTGAACCAATATTGATATATTATTATTAACTGAAGTCCATAGGTTATTCAGACTTCCTTAGTTTTTACCTAATGCCCTTTTTCTCTTCCCAGGTCCCATCCAGGAAACCACAGTTGGTCGTCATGTCTCCCGTCTCCTCTTGGCTGTGACAGTGGCTCTGACTTTCCTAGTTTTTGCAGACCTTGAGTTTTGAGGAGTAATGGTCTGGCGTTTTGTATACTGTCTCTCAATTGGGATTTATCTGATTTTTTTTTCATGATTAGACAGGAGTTATGGGTTTTGAGGAGAAAGATCTACAGTGCTTGGGCAACATTTTAACTCCTGCTACACATCTGATGTGGCTAGAAGGTGCTGTAAATGTGCCCTATGTCTTGTGGAAATGGATCCCATCAACATCAAAGCGCCAAGATAGAAAAACAGGATTTCTGTTCTCCATTTTTCTCAGGCCAACGTGGATTTCCAACTTCTTGAGAATTCTTAGATTAGCTTCCCAAGTACTCAACATTAATATTAGCTACCACTTCATTCCTACATAGTGATTTCTACTTCTGAGGGCACCTTCATGCACCATTTCCCATTTGCTCATCAGACTCACCCTCTGACATGAGTAAAGGGGTTCCATGAGGTCACCTCATGACTCCTGGACCCCACAGCACCTAGATGGTGGTTCATCCATAGAAAGGATCCAGTTGAGTTTTGTCCCATTTCAGTAACCATCCTAGTTATATACTTAAACCCTGAATAGGGTTTAAGAGTTAGTACAGTGGGGCCCGGTGGCTCCTAGGGCCAGCCTTGTCATTCGTAGATCAGCAGTCAGGATTTTTACACGCCTCCCCTTGTTCCTAGTGCTTCTTCCTGGTCACAGCAGGCTGCTGGCCTCTCCTTCTGGGTGCTTTCTGGACTACTATTTTCTCCCAGAGGGAGACAGATGATTGCCTTCATCTTTTCATAATGCTTCATTTCACCAGGCTCTGTGGTTGATTTGTCTGGGACAGTGATTTTTCTGTTCCCTGCCGCTACCTCCTTTTAATGGTGAGACACCTCGAGTGCTTCCAGAAAGCTCAAGGAGGTTGTGGAATGTTGAAAGGAGAATTGATTTTCGTTCACTTGAATTTTGCTGTTTTTTTGAAACTGGATTTTGTATGAGTGTTACACAGCACTGTTTGGTGGGAGGGAGTTTTAGGGTGGTTATGGAGAAGGCCTCAGAATGAAAGGCTTAGGTAGCTAAGACTCAGTTTGCGGTCACTGGTGGATGCTCACTGTCCACACAGGTGTGAGCCGGCAGCCTGTGTCCACTCTGGCTGAGCAAGGGACTTCACAGACTATTTTAAAGAGCATAGTCCTGTGTAGACAATGCTTTTCCTGTCTTTTGAAGGTAGAGGGCTATTTAATTGTGCCAGACTTAAGCCGAGTGTGGTATTCAAGCTGACTGCAGACTTTAGTTGTGAAAATGTGGGTTTGCTCTGTTTTCTCATTCTCTGAACCTTTACCTCAAGGTGAGAAAACAATGTTTTGAGATCAGTAGAAAGAAATTCTGACTACACACTTGGATTCTGTGGCTCAATTAATGGGGAGACTGAGGCAGGGCGCTGAACTCTGCCTTATCGGCTGTTGCTCTGAATTGCATCTGTAGGTTCAGTTCTCAGGTCTCTGCAGCAGCAGGGACCTTTCTGCCTGAGGCTGGTGATAAGGAGCTCAGAGGCGATATCCTCGCGTTCATTGGATATTGAAAATACAAGTTTGATTCATGTGCTGGATACTGAGAAAAAGGGCTAAACAACCAATATATGTTAGTCATTGACATGTATGTGTGTCCCCCATAAGGGAAAAGGGGGGCATTCAATGTGGTTCCTCCATCAAGGGGCTCCGAGTGTCATGGGAAAGGGAGTTGTGTCCAGAGATAATCATAACACAGGGCAGCAATTGACATGCATTGTTGGCAAGGACTGAGTCACAGGAAGTTGTCATCTGATAGTTATAGGCCTTAGAGATTCTCTTACGAGCAAAACCTTGACAAAAATCCCTAAATGATTGGCAGTAGGAAACCATGACATATCCAGGCAAAAGTATGTTATGTAGCCATTAAAAGAAATAAGGTAGATTTATATATAACAAAAACATCTCCAAAACATTGCTAAGTGAAAAAGGAGGATGCAGAGAAATGTATACATAGTCTGATCCTATTTGTATATATAATATATAGTATGTTTAAAATATTATAGATGTTAAGTTGAATATATATGTGTATATTTAATATTTAAAAATGACTTAATATAAATATTATATTTTAAAGTGCTTAAAATATTTCTGGATGATTCACAAGAAATTGTGGACAATGGCTTATTTCTGAGGAGTGAAACTATTACTTTCCATTTTGCATCATTCCTAACCATTTGATTTTTAAAACCAGGTACATGTATTTTTTTTTAATTAAAAAAATACTAGCTTATATCTTTTTGTTGTTTTTATTCTTTGTTTCTTTTCTTTTTCTTTGTATTTTCTTTAGCTTATATATATATATATATATATATATATATATATTTTAAAAAGCTTTACAACATTTTTTTCTCTCCTGGTTTAGAACATCTTTCTGCACATTGTGGACTTATCTGATCACAAGAAAATCTGGAAATTCATTGAAAATTTCAAGAAGGAACATAAACTCAGTGTTCTGGTAAGCTTTATAAACATAAGAAGAGGCTAATGCTTACGTTTTCCGTCTCATGTACATTTTTTGTCTGTGTGGATATGGACTGATAAGTATGTTTGTGGGTCTTTATGTTGACCTCTTAGTAAGAATCTTTTATGGTGAGGCCCGTTCATGCAATCAATTTACTCACCAGATTCAATCTAACAAGCACGCTGGTTAGATGTGCGGGGAAAGGAAGGGTCTATGTGAGGATAAGGTTGTTTCATTTTTCATACAGTGATGACTGTTATATCTGTATTTCTGTGCTCTGTAGACTTGGGGATTGGTGTATTAAAATTAGAGGCTCAGGGAAAAATAAAAATAAAAAGCTGTCCAAAAGAATGCCTGCTACAGACAAGCAAATCTTTTAGGAACACAGTCAGTGTGGAATTCCACAGAGAGCCGGGAGGATGCAGGTGGGATGGTGTCTGTCTGCTCATCCCAGGTATTTCACTTTGAGCTGCTTTTCTACCCAAATAGTTTCTAAAGTGCTCCACAATGCCCGTGTGGGCTGAAGTTCCGTCTCCTGGTATCCAGTATGGGTATGGAGCATTTGAGATGTAAATAGTCCAAATTGAGATGTGCTAGAGGTATAAAAATCTGTTGATTTTGAAGAGTTAGTGTGAAAAAGAAAATCTGTCATTAATATTTTTATATTGATTACATGTTGAAATGATACCATTTTAGATATATTGAGTTAAATAAAATATATTATTAAAATGAATTTCACCTGTTTCTTTTTAATGTAGCTAGTTTCTAGAAAACTTAAAATTACATATTTCTGCTGGATGGCACTGGTCTAGACAAATTCCCAGCGCACCTAATTATGAACTAGGTTGCCCAGTCAAGCCCTCGTAATTGGAGATCTCTGCACAGTTCTGTGGCTGAGCTTTCTGCACAAGTGGCATTTTCCTGGAAGGGGTTTGGAATGAAGGGACAGTTGAGCAGAATTGTTGTCACTTAAATGTGGGACTGGTGATGGCAGTGGAGGTGTGGGGTTTGGAAACAGGTCCTTTGGCCCTATTTTCTTTTATTTTGAAATGGCAACTGTAATTTCTAGATCAATAATGCAGGTTGCATGGTCAATACAAGAGAGCTCACGGAAGATAGACTTGAAAAGAACTTTGCTACTAACTCTCCAGGTAAGAGCATGCAGCTTTCTCATTTGTTTTGAGCAAAATAGACATAGATGACACCATAGAAGGATCAGAAAAACATTGATCAACTTTTTGGGCTCTTGGTCCTTGGCATGATTACGTTTGCTTTAAGTTTATCCTTCACTGCATTAATTTTTCTTCATAAAACACTGTAATACTTAGTATTGTTAAAGCATTTTTTTTTCTAGAAAGTTCAAGGCTCATTATAGACATGATTTTGGTGAGAAGAGCATGTTTAGCTCAGGTGGAGTGCGCCAATATAAAAGCTGCAGCCAAGGGAACTTCCAGCCGGGGCTGAGGAGGGCGCAACCGTGAGACAAGAATATGGATCAAGGAGGGCATTCAGTTAGAACACAGGACACCTGGGTCTGGTTCTTGCTCTGTAATAACAGGCTGACTTATTTCATGCCAGGCAAGTGGTTCGCAAAGTAGGTTTCCTGGACCAGCAGCGTCAGCATTACCAGGGAACTTGGTAGAAATGCATATTCTGTGACCCTACCTCCAGATCTTCTGAACCCAAAACTCTGGGTTGGGGCCAAGAAATCTGTTTTATTAAGAAGCCCTGCAGGCGCTTTAGATGTACACTGAAGTTTTAGAACCAAGGTACCAGGCTTTTAACCTATTTGGACGTTCTTCTTGAATCAAGGGGTCGGGAGTAGAATATTTCAGTGCTTTTCAGCTTGGAGATGCAGTGAATCTAACGTTCTCCCCAGTATGTCTACCACTTCCTCATAGTAAGTTGAACTTTTAATGAGGTGTTTTAGTTAAATATTGCCCTAAGTCACAAGATGGATGGCAGGGGTTTATGTGGCCATGGGGTCGTTGAGAACTGCACAGCCAAGAACTGCACAGATTGAAGAGTAAGGTAATGGAATAATAGACGCAAGTCAAAATATCATTGATGTTATTGATAAGGCTAGTTGAAGGGTATGCTCAGGATGAGAACCAAATGGGTTTCCTTGTAATGAACCCAAGAATTGAACTCACCGGTTGCAGCTGGCTGGCTGAGGACAGACACGACCACGCCCTCCCCAGGGAGAGAAGAAAGGGGGAGCAGAGCTGAGTATGCCCACTTTATAGCCCCCTGAAGGGGGCCAAAGTTTTGCCACCCTGAAACTGCTTTCTCAAATATTGATTTTAAGCTGTTTATTAAGAAACAAAAGACTCAGAAAGAACCTTTGACCTTTGCCCCTCCCTTTCCCAAGAGATTCTGATAGAAAAACCTGCTTCAGGAAGGCAGTCTTAGGATGTTCACCTTAGCCTAATTTGAATTAAGTATGTAAGAAGGGGGGCTTCAGGTGTGTGTGTGTGTGGGAGTCTGTTAGCGAGATACCCCCTGTGTCCCAGTGTTTCTGAGTTGCCAGCAAGAATGTTCCTGCCATGTGTGTTCCACTCTCCCTCAACTACCTGTAAATTGCCCATTCTCATGTCTGAAATCTAATACCCCTTCCCACCACCCCTCTCCGTTGTCCAAAATGTCCTATATACCCAATGTCGCCTCACTGTTTTTGGACTTTTCATGCTTATGGGAATTCCTCATGCACATGTATTAAAACTTTGGTTTTCTCCTATTAATCTGTCTCTGTTAATTTGCTTGGTAGCACAGCTAGAAGAACTTAGAAGACGGGAGGAAAAGTATTCATTGTTTTATCCCCCACACTCCCAAGTTTACTAAATTAATTATTGATAAGTGCTGCATTCCCCCAGGATGGAGGAAAGAAACATCAGAAATGAGGAAGAACCTTTCTCCACAGTGGTGAGGCTGCATTTTTGTTTTATTAACCAATATCTGGAAGCTTGCTGTGAAATGGTGCAGGTTTCATACAAAATATTTCCATCTTGACTTTGTTCCAAATGTGGTGTCATTGCCAAGGTACCTGAATGTGGGGGTCATGCTGGGGGTCGCCTTATAACTCTGTTGGATGGCAAAGACCCCAGAGTGCCACTGCTGGCCTCCCAGGTGGCTGCTCAGAAGGACCTGCTCTGTGATTTGTGGGGCCCCTTGTTCAAAAATTGTTAAGAATTTTGGGTCTGGCCAAGTGGCCTGTTGGTTAAGAGTTGGCTTGGGAGCGTGAGCTCTGGGCAGCAGGGCTGCTGGTTTGGATTCCACATGGGCCAGTGACTCTGCACCCTCTACAGCTAAGATGGTGAACAGCAGCTCAACTTGGAGCTGGGCTGCCGTGAGTGGCTGGTGATGGCATAGGCAGCATTGGGGCTGCAGTGGGCTGCTGTAAGCTACAGTGAGTGACTGGCAGCCAGCGTGAGTGGCCGGCAACCAGTGTGAGCTGCCATGAGCTGCTGTGAGTGGTCATCCAACGGCCGGTGACCGATCTGCCTCAGCCGGGAAGAGCGCAATGATAATACCAACATGGCCCAGTGAAGCGACATCCTCCACAACTAGACTAAAGAACAAAAAGACAGCAACTTGTCTGTTCCCCTTCCCCGATTCCCCAACGCTGTTCCCTCCCCCAATTCCCCAATAAAAATCTTTAAAAAAATTATTAAGAATTTCAATATAGTGACCACAGAGCATTAAACCAAATGCAGGGCCCTTTGACGTGCAGGGCCCTATGGGACTGCATAGGATGCAGCTGTTCGCTGCCTACCCACCCACCACCCAGCAAAATTCAACTGGGTGTTTACTGATGGGCATTAGTGAGTGTGGTGCATATATGTGTCACTTAACACTCATGACCACCCTGTGATGGAGGTATTTCTACCTACACACTGCAGATAAAAACTAGGACTGAGGGAGGTTGCATATATTGGCCAAGGTCAAGTGGAGGAGCCAGAATTTGAACCCAAATCTACTTGCCTCCTCAGTCCATGTTCATAACCAGGATAAACAGGATGAAATTCTACCAGCCCCCAGCCCTTCCTTGTCACACTTGGCACTATATATTATCGTGAAATAAGTGTTGGGAGGGGAGTGCCGAGCCCTGCCAGGGGGAGGGTGGGCCAGGGCTGAGGCCCCACTTAGCGGGCAGCCTGGTACCTAAGGGACTGCCTTTTTTTTATACAGCTGGTTACATTGTCCTTTTGTATGAATTTGGTCTGCTTCCAAGGACCTTGATATCTTTTCACTTTCATTTCCTTTTTGTGTTAGAAACATTTTATTGATCTCCCCAACCTCTCTGAGAAGCATAATCATTCTCATGCTTCGATATCTATTCATCTCTCTAGAATGGAAGACAGAGCCCACTGTACAAAGAGGCATGTCAGTGACAGAGGAAGCAGCTTAATGTGTCTTTGAGCAGAAACAGAGAGGTTAAAATATTGTCATGCTTAAGCAGGTCCAGAACCAAATGAACAACCCAGACCTCTGTCTGAGTCCTAGGAAATTGCTGGCTGCAGTTCTAATGTGAAACATGTTTTTCCAGCCCGATTATGTAACGTGGGATCGGTTGTTTTCTGTTTTCTAAGATTCATTTGGGCCTCGAGAAACATTGCCAATCCCCAGGCAAACATCAGTAGATTCCCAATGCTCTGAGGACAGGACAACACCAGTATTTGCAGAATCTATCACCAGATCCTAAGGGATTAGAAGCTGGAGTTGAATGCAAGATACTGTCAAAGCCCATGCCTACCCACATCTCTTTGTGGAGATATCATAGTACATGAAGTAGGTAAAGTCTGGGAATACTTCTTCTTAACTGTTTTGCGGGGGGACTGGTCCTGAAAATTTTCATTGTTTACCTTACGGTGAGACAAAACCGAGCTGCCCTGGATAGATTTGTGGGTAGATGATGCATGGAGATGAAATGACCTCATGAGACAAAATCTGTTTGGTTGCTGTTCTCACCCATGTTTTGGGTCTTCTCAAATCCTATCCATTGTGCCTGTTACATTCAGTGGCGTTAAGAGTCTGTGAGGAGCGAAGACAGATGGAAGGGCAGGGGAGACTGTGCTAAGTGCTGTGCTGGCAGGCTGCCACTGCCTGAGTGTTCGCAGATTCAAACTCTCGCCCACATCTTAGGCTCTCTCATCACAGGACACAGAAGAGGACACTGATTCCACCTCCTCCAGGACAGCTGCGTCATCAATTAATTGACTGTAATAAACAGGCAGTGGTGCCTTTGCTCTTTGGCAGAAGGCGGGGTTTGCAGTTTAGGTCATTTTGGAAAGGCATGCATCAGTACAGAGTAAGCGTTCTGTTGCTTGACATTCAACTATTAGAAGCTCTCAACTCACTGGCATATCCCCACACCCAATGACAGCTGCTGTTTAAATCAGACACCCAAGGTCCAGGAAAAAAAAATAATAATAACAACAACACTGAGCACTTCCCCAGCATGTGCCCAGAGGCTGCACTAAGTGCTTTTCTTGGATTGTCTCATTCAATCCTCATAGCAACTTTATAGATTTCATAGACAAGGAAACTGAGGGTCGTCTAAAGCCAGAGTCTGTGACTCACCTTCCTAAACAAAGGACAACAAAATTATAGTTTGCACATTTTTAGTATAGGGTTGTATCAGCTATTGCTACATAACAAGCAATAATAAGCAGGCATGCAGTAATAAGCATGTATTTATTGCTGACTCTTATGCAGGTCGGCTAGGTGGGCTGATCTCAGCAGAGCTCCATGGGGTGTCTCCAAGCAACAAGTTAGGTCTGGAATATGTTTTAAATTCTCACATCCTCCTGGGACTGTTAGGCTGGCCAGAGTATGTTCCATTGCATGTTCCATGGCAATGGGAGAAGCCCGAGTGTGCAAGCACATGCCAAGCACCTGCTTGCTTCACATCTGCTAATGTCCAACTAACCAACAAAGGGGGCATGAACGTTATCAAACAATAATCTACCACAAGGGTCTGTTGTATTACATTCTAATTCTTTGGAAATGGGTCATTGGAGTTTGATGTGGTAACTATTTATTAACCAAAATATTTAATGAACAAAAGATCTTATTTGTTCAATAAACATTTATAGAGCACCTACTCTGTGCCAGACACTGTGGTCAGTGATGAGGGTTCAGAAATTAAAGG